CACTCCCTGAGTTATAATGGGGAATTTACATAACGTTGGGACTATACAATACCTTTGCTTCCTCCAACTGACTCAGTTCTGGTTGCGCAAGGGAGCTAACATCACGTAGCTGCTTAAGTCTTTATAAGCAATCAGCGTTTCAGACTTTACGTGTGGGAGACAATTCATTTGTTTTCAGTTGTTCAAACAGTTTCTGTAGCTTCTTACAACGTGTGCTGGCCTTGAGCACTAATGCTTTCTAAACAGTCCACAGAAGACCTTGGAATGAATGGCTAGGGTGCTCCAGCCTAGGGACAAAGAGAGCACTTTGGAGGACACCAGCGTTCTGCACCCAAGAGCTGCTTTAAGGGAAAGAAAAAAGCTTTATTGAGTTCTGATTCACCTGCCATGTAATTCACCCATTTGAAGGACGTGATTGGCTGACTTTTCAGTAAATCCCTGCTGCGTGGCCATCACAGCATCTGCTGAAGAACATTTGGTTCTTTCTTTGTCTTTGTTTGATTGTTTGTTTTTTCAAGACGTGGTTTCTCTGAACAGCCCTGGCTGTCCTGGAACTCTCTTCTGTAGGCCAGGCTGGCCTTGAACTCAGAGATCTGACTGCCTCTGTGTCCCAAATGGCTGGGATTAAAGGTATGCGCCTCCATGCTTGGCATTAAGGAACATTGTATCATCCTAAAGAGAAATGCTCTTTACCAGTCGCCCCCCAACTGCCCCCAGCTTGGACAAGCATCGGTCCATTTTCTTCTCTCAGTGAGTCTGAGACTCACTGAGTTCTTGTTTTCTTTCTTTTGGTATCTTCAGTCATGGTCTCATGTATCCCTGGCTGGCATTGAATTCACTGTGTAGCTGAGGATGAGCTTGAACTTCTGATCCTTCTGCCTTCACCGCCTGCTTGTTGGGATTGCATCACGCCTGGTTTACGCTGTGCTGGGGATCAAACCCAGGGCCTTGTGTATGCCAGGCAAGTGTGCCCTATCAAGTGAGCTCTCTAGCCAGGGTTTCTGTGTTTTGGACATCTTCAGCAGAATCATGTGGCATGTGACCTTGCATGTTTTTTTTTTCCCCTTTTCTTTTTATGTAGAAGTGTGCTTTCAAAAACTCACCTATGTCTTACCAATGTGGCGGCTCAGACTTGAGCGGAACAAAGGCAGTAACAATAGACATGCCAACATGGGTGGGGAAAAGTCCATAAGGCCTCAACTCCACACAGGGAACTAAAGGCAACTAAGACATGCGGGAAGATGGAGTATTTCCTCAGGGAAGAGCACACCAGTTTGGTTATACAATACCAAAGGGTCAGCCCTGAAAACAGACATACAAGTGACATTATACAGACTCAGCAGGTTGTATTTATGTATCAGGACTATGTATGTATGTAGGAATAGATGCATAGACATATATGCATGTAACCACAGTTAATGGAAAAGAGGCCATGAATCTGAAAGAGAGAGCAAGAAGGAGTACACTGGAGGCTTAAGAGGGAGGAAAGGGAAGGGAGAAATGATATAATTATATTACAATATTCAAAGATAAGAGGTAATTTTTTAAAACCTTATTTGTGTAGTGGCATGTCCAACACTCTAGTCCCTGGCCTTTTAAGAAAAAAACATTTAAGTTTTTATTTACATAATCCTCTTGTGTATACTTCAAGTGCAGGGATACAGGTGTGTATGTGCCCTGGAGGCCAGCAGAGGGCACTGGATCTCCTGGAGCTGGTGGTCGTGAGCCATTCAGTGTCTGTGGTTGGAAATGAACTCTTCTGGAAGAGTGTTGAGTGCCCTTTACTGCTGAGCCATCTCTCTAGTCTGGCGGCTCTCGACCTTCCTGACACTGTGACCCTTTAATGCAGTTCCTCATGCTGTGGTCACTCCTAACCATGAAATTATCTCCTGTTATCTCATAGCTGTCTCATAGCTATGAATTATAACGTAAATATCTGATATGCAACCCCCAAAGGGGTCATGACCCACAGATTGAGAACCTCTGCTCTAGCACCTCTCCTCCCTCTTTTTTTTTTTTTTTTTTTTTTGAATTTTTCGAGACAGTGTTTCTCCCTAGCTTTTTGGTTCCTGTCCTGGAACTAGCTCTTGTAGTCCAGGCTGGCCTCGAACTCACAGAGATCCGCCTGCCTCTGCCTCCCGAGTGCTGGGATTAAAGGCGTGTGCCACCACCGCCCGGCTTCTCTCCTCCCTTTAAAAATATTTATTTTACACATGAATGCGCGCACATGTGTATACATGTGTGCGTGGTGTGTGTGTGTGTGTGTGTGTGTGTGTGTGTGAAGAGGTTGTCAGGAAGCTTGTGAAGAGTAGAGGGAAGAGAAACTGAGGTTGGGATGTAATGTATAAGAGAACAATAAATAGAATATATGCATACATATATATACATACACACACATACATACATAGATCGTCATAACAAAATATCACAGACTTGTGGCTTCAGCAACAGAGATTTATTTTTCTTGGTTCTGTAGACTGCAGTCTGAGATGAAAGTTAGTGGGGTTGGAAGCCAAAAGTAGTAGTGCATGCCTGTACCCTAGCATTTGAAGATCAGGAAGGAGGATCAGGCATTCAAGACTAGCCTTGCCCAGGTAGCATGTCAGGATATCCTGACCTATAGAGTAAAACTGTGTCTCAAAACCTCCAGAAGCAGGGCCAGGCAGTGGTGGCCCATGGCTTGAATCGTAGTACTTGGGAGGCAGAGGCCAGAGAAACTCTGACTTGAAAACAAAGCAAAAACTCCAGAAGCAAGTAAGTTAGTTTTAGAGTTTCAGCTTTTACATTTGATTCTAATCCATTTCGGGTTCTGCCTGTGGTGTGAGGTAGGGGTCAGCCTCATTCTTCGGCATGTGGCTTTCCAGTTTTCTCAGCATTGTTTACTAAAGACCGTTTCTTCCTTATGAAGCCACCGTGAAACTCTTGTTGCAAAGGGGGCTGGCTGCAGATGCAAGGACTTACATCTGGATTCTCAGTTTTGCTCCTTCATCTGTATGTTTGTCCTGAAAGCTTTGCCATTTTGTCCTGATTGCCGCAGCTTGCTTCTAAGTTTAAAATGAGGAAGTAAGAGTCCAGGGCAGTATACTTTCCCTTTGGTGTCTCGCACCCACTGTGAGAGGTGTGAACGAACCGTAACACCACTGAGAGTTGGTGTCCCCTGACCCTGGTCAAGACTTCATCTCCAGGACATAGGCTCTAAGTTCAATGCATTCCTAGAGAGATGGTTTCCTTGTCCATCCGGCCCCCAGCTATTCATTATAGATCAATGGAAACATCCTGCAGAAGACAATGGCCCCCATGGGTTATTTTAAACATCGCTCTGAGTCTTCCCCACCTGCTCTGCTGTCACTAATTGCACCAGAAACAGTATCATTCACAGATGGATTATTAATGAACCAAGGGGGAGCCCCAGGCAAAATGAAAGGGGACTTTTAGAATTGGGAAGGCTTGGGACAACCCAACCTGTTTTTTGTTTTTCATTGTTTTTTTTGTTTTGTTTTGTTTTGTTGTTGTTGATTTTGAGACAAGGTTTCATGTGTCACAGGCTGGCCTCAAATTCATACTTTTTGCCCTGAGTGTTGGAATTCCATATATTTGCTACCGCACTTGACAGATGTGGTGCTGGGGGCTGAACCTAGAGTTTTGGGGCCTGTTAGGCAAGCACTACCCGCTGAGCTACATCCCCAAACTAACCCACGGGTTTACTCCTCCAAGAAAAGTAACTGAGTTTGTTCAGCAAATAGAAAATCAGGGGCTGGGTATGGTGGCTTTTAATCCCAGCACTCAGGAGGCAGAGGCAGATGAATCTCTGTGAGTTGAAGGCCAGCCTGGTACACACAATGAACGAGTTCCAGGTCAGCTAGGGCTGTATAGTGAGACCCTGTCTTTAAAGAAAATAAAAAGGAAATCAGTGCACTTAGGCCATGTTTCTGGGGTCCTGACTTTTAGCCCGAGTGCTGCAAACAGGTTTCCCGAAGGTCGCTGAGATCCTAAACTATGAGTCTTGTCTGCTTCCCCAGTGTCTTAGCTCTGGTGTACTTCTGGCTCTAGTCTGGAGGCTGGGAGAGTGCAGGAAACAAAGCCCATTGTGGAGAAGAGAACCCCATTGTTCTGAAGTCTGTGTTCAGGGAATGTGGGCTTCAGAGAATGTTTGGGATGGGGTTTTTCTCTTTGTCGACTTTCTCTCCTCTCCCTGGGGTGGGGGAACAATTTAAAGGAGCAATTTTGAAAATGAACTTAAAGACAGTTAAACCCATTGCCCTCAAGGGAAGGCACACTCTACAGGGCCTTTTGTCCAGAAGCCGCTTCCGTTACATGACAGAAGCTCAGGGTGTTTGGGGCTTCTTAGCGTGAAACCTCAAGGAAGCCGGTTGGTCTAGATCCTCTGCATCTGAGCCGGTGGCAGACATTAGCCTAAGCATGACCACTTCCTTCCTCCTTCGCTTCACCTCCCCTCTTTCCAGATGGAAGAAGCAACGTGAGTCCAAGTCACCGGCCACTGCCTGTTGCTTTTTTTTTTTTTTTTTTTTTTCAGCTGGAAGACTATCCATATAGCCCTGTCCCCTAGACAAGGCTTGGCCTGGCCTGGCTCCAGGTATTTGGGGAGCTTTCTGACTCAAGCTGACCAGGGCCTTAAGGTGAGAAATTGACGTTCGGGCACTGGCCCCATCCTGTGAGACCCTAGGTAGATCACTACCCATCTCTGGGCCTCACTAGATATAGCTGTCAAATGGGAACAGAAATACCGTCCGGGCTTCTCCCTGTCTGTACTGAAGGTTAGGGGTGGAGTACATGAGAACTATTTCGAAGCCTGGCTGTGTCTCAGCAGCTTCCAATTTCCTGTAGCTCAGAAAAGGGGTCCCTATCCCGAGGGCTCTAAGATCTAGATCTGGTTGGGCGCGCACACGCGCGCGCGTGCGCGCGGTAGCAAACCCCTTGGGGCTGTGCCCGCCCAACCCTTTCCCTGGAGCTTAGGCCCCGCCTTAGGGGAGGAGCCAAGAGGCGGCGCGGTGGCTCGCGACCCAGCAGAGCTGGCTCTGTCGCCGCACCACCAGCTGCGGCTCTGGGACCTGCAGACCAGCCGGGGCCGGGAGCCGCCCGGGGCAGGGCTCGAGAGAGCGGGTGAGTAAAAAGGCACTGTGTTCCTTTGCGCTCTGCGGGGCGGGCAGGCAGGTGGTCTCGGCCATTGCCACTCTGGCTGGCGGAGAGGGGCGCCTTGACCAAAGGCGGGTGGCTTAAGATAATTGGGGTGGTGGGATGTGCTGGAAAGGCGGGTACCGAGGGTGCGGGGCCTGGGAGTTGGGCCACAGTGGGGACATTCTCCCATGTCTCGTTCTCGGATGAAGAGGCTGGTGTAGGGGGTGCATTGGCAGGTTGTTGGTTGGAGCTGTGATGGCTGGATCTTAGGGGCGATGTGAGTGAGATTCGTGGTCTGTCTGGGCTACCGTCTGCCAGGGGTTACTGAGTGCCTGAGCCATAGAACACCAGACTCCCGGGACGCGCGGTCTACGAGTCGGGCATGGGGGCGCCGCCCCCTCGCGTGGCGGCGCTTGGTCTGGGCAGGCTACGGCAGCGCGCGGGGAGTGGAAAAAGTCCCAGGGGCAGGCGTCTCGGCGGGCAAAACTGACTCAATGCGGGATCCCCATCCCTAGAGCGCGGCAGTCAGTTTGGCAGCCCCCGGCGTGGTGGTTCCCAGAAGGGGTGCGCCGGGCCTCTCGGTCGGCGGGCCGGCGTGGGTGAGAGCTGCGGGTCGCTCGCTCCCGGAGCGCTCCACTCCTCTTGAGTCCGGCTCATCTGCTCCCCCAGGGAGCAGCGCCCCCGAGAGCTCTGGACGCTCAGAAACGGCGCAGCCCTACCCCAGAGGTCGACTGAGGGGTCTCCCACAAGGTCACACAGAGCGCCCAGATCGCCCCGGGTGGGAACGAGGAGCGGGAGGTGCTCCTACCCGCCTTCTTGGCGGATGCGGATTCTCTTCCTCTGCGCTCCTCTCCCAGCCCAGCCTCCTGCTTTACGGAAGATGCTGCTGATGCAGCTTCCAAGTCCCGGGAGGATAATCGGGTCTAGGTGAGCTTTGACTCCGGTCTTCCGGGCAAGCCCTAGTGGGGCGCTGCCACCATGAGCCAGGCCTGGGAGCCCATGGTCCCTGGAACCTGGAGAGCGGAGGAACAGAGATGCAGCTACACAGCGCTTCCCAGAATCGAAAGCCAGTGCTTGCGCGCCCATGTGATTACACTGTTCATAAAGGGCTCCTGTTCTTGCTGTCAGAGGCGCCCACCAGCTCCCCGGCGGTCGGGAGCACCAGGTGCGGCCTGTGAATCGCCCTCTGTGGAGTACCCAGAGCCCGACAGTGCCAGGCGCCGTTCCCCTCCAGGCTCTATGGGGAAGGGGCTGGCGGTAGCCCCGGGCCCTCGGGGGTGCTGTGGGGGGACTTCCATGCATGCTATCTTGTGAAACAACCTCCGTGGGGGAATGAGCTCTCCTTCCAGACTGAGCTCAGCCCAGCTCAGCTAAAGACTAGCTGCCCGCCTGCGGGCGGGCCCTGCACTCGGTTCCCCATCAGCACCGATCTGTAAGAAGTGGGGCGAATGGTCGCGACAGGATAACCGAGAGGCCTCGAGTGACGCTCTTGGTGCAGAGGAGCATCATGGATGACCCTACTAGGCAAACACGCCTTCAGTAAGGGTTTGAGTGGGGCGTGTCCCCTAGCCAGGTGCAGAAGTGGAGCCCTGGTGGGTGGTTCTGCAGGGACTGGGGTGGGGGTGGGGTTCCACTTTTCCTCCCCCAGTTATGTCACAAAGAACCAGCTTGCAGGAGGCGGTGGGGACCGGTGACTCCTTCTAGCGAGCTGCCTGCTTGCAAGGCCTTTCCCACACACGTTCCCACCACCTTCTCTCCCACCTGTCACCCAAATCTCATCTTCTCTGCCCCAGTCGCTGGGATGCTGTGGGCAAGATGCCAACTAGACTGTCAACTGTCTCCCCTAACAATCTCTCCCCGACCACTCCGATTCTTCTCAGCCTTTGGAATGGCTTCCTTTCGGAAGATTTCTTGGTTTCTAGCTGACCCTCATTTGTGGCTCAGGTGGCAGACGCTCCCTGGGAAGTCCCCTTGTGATGGGATGTTTCCTGTTCTAGAAGTACCAGGTGAGCAAGGCCAGTGTTTGGTGCCCACACAGACTTTGCACTTCGTGTTCAGGGAGCCAGAGGAGCGGAGGTTAAATTCTAATCTTGCTATTCTGTGTTTTCATGAGCCCTAGTACCAGGGCCAAGGAGGAGAAGCTGAGGCAGGGAATTGGTTTCCTGTGGGGCTTCTTTGAGCTACCCACCCATCCTGTCTCCTGAAAACCCAGTTCTAAAGCCTCAGAGAACTCGCTCTGACCAACAGCAACTGAGTGAACTTGGGCCAGCAGATTGCAAAGGCAGCCTGGATTCAAGGGCTGGGTTTGGACTCACGACAACCTCTGTTGTTGACCTTGCCTCTTCTCCTACCCTAGCACCCTGTGCTCCCAGCCTCCAGGGGGCTTGTAGCAATGTAGACAATGGGTCCCAACTGACTGCCCCCCTCCGTCCCAGACCGGGACAGCCCTTGTCTCAACACATCTTAGAGATCAACCCTGGGGGAGGGGGGAGCATGCATAAATGTATCACAGAAAGCGATCAAAGTGTGATAGTATTGCAAATCGAGGAAGCTGTATAAGTCTAGTTGAAACAACAGCTCTAAGCTTAAAAAGCCTTGGGATTCTGGGTAAATCTCTCTCCAGCCCCCCCCCCCCAATAAGAATCCCATAGTTGTCATCTTCATGAGAGCTTCAAGGATTGTGTGAGATAAAAGAACGTAGAAGCACTTCATGGAGTTCTGGTAGGCAGTCAGGAAGTGACTCTTGTCACCAGCACCTGTTTCTTCCCTTCCTTGGACCCTCATGGATCCTGCCTCCTCCCCTGCTATAAGGAAATAGTGCCTCTTTCCACAGTTCTTGGGACAGAGAAAGCCTCCTCCTGTCTCCTGGGAAGTGGGCGCTGTCCTGGGAATTAGGCTTTTGCATGACCCCTTCCCCAGGGTTCCTCTTCCATACCTTGTGCTTCTCAAAGGGTTTCCATAATCAAGACAGCTCTGGGGGTTCTCATCTTAGGGGAGAGGCAGGCTTGCAGACAGAGGGCCTGGTGGGGTCAGAGCTCCCACGGTAAGAAGTGGGGACTGAGGGCAGGTTTGAGTCCTCATGCTCTAAGTCAGTGGGTGCCCATAGACTCCTTATATCTTATGCAGGTAAGCTGCCGGCTAAAGGCGGTAGAGCGAGCAGAAGAGAGATACTGGGGGTAAAGCCTTAGCTCGGGGCTATCCCTGTATGAGTAAGTGTTCACAGATGTTAGTTACTATTATTATTAGTCTATTATTGCCAATAACAGGTGGGCTGGATTTACTGTGGGAGCACATTTGATCTCTTCAGTGGCAATTTTCCAGGCGGTGGGTAATGGAGGGGTGGGTACCCATGCACGGAGAACTGCGTGTGTTAGATAGAGCGTATAGGCTGGAAAGCTCCGGATGGCTTCGGCGAGCTGGGGGTGGGGGTGGCTGCTGGAGCCCAGTCAACGGAGTGTGATGCAGGTCTTGGTCGGAAGACCAGGGAAGGAGTCAGAGGTCATCCTGCCAGGGGCTGTGCCTGGTTAAATGCTCACTGACCCGAAGCAGCGCTCCACTGCCTTGTCAGGTGGAGGCTCTCTGCAAAAGGTTGTCTGAATGTGGTATCCAAGGAAGATGAGGATTCATTTCTGCATGGGAGGAAGGGCTGGGCTGGGCTTTGGTATGGAAGCATTCTCCTCTCTATTCCTTTTGGGTCCCTTCAGGAAAGCACAGAGCTGACCTTCCCTTGCTTGACATGTTGCCCCATGCCATAATCTTCAAAGATGTTATGGGCCAGCTGGGCATGATGGAATATGTATGTAATCTCAGCAGTCAGGAGGTTAAGGCAGAAGGAGAGAAAATTCAGGGACGGCCTGAATTTGTGAGACCCTGAAGAAAAGAAAGGATGTCATGTGCTCTCCTGTATGCTCTTTGTAAATGTCTAAGTTGGCTGCACAGAGTCTAATTTCTCTGACTTTGTGTGCCCCTTGGTGCCGGACATTAGGCCCCTTATGGTTGGTCACCATAGGAACCTGCCCTGGCTTTTGGGAAATTTCTGAGTGCAGGTGACTGTAGGGGGATGTGTTTCTGGATATCCCAGGATAGGCATTCCACTGAAGTCCCACAAATGTGCCTTGACTAGGGCAGTTTGTGGCTTGATTGATGGGGCAGGTGGTGACCAAGTCCCAAGGTGGCCCCGGGGAGGAATGAGTCTGTTAGGATGACTGCCCAGAATATCACGTGATCCTGCCTATAGACAGGAGACGTCCAAACAAATGCTTAACTATTCCTTTCCCGTGGATGATAGAGTTCAGGGTTTGAATTACGATTCTGCTTTCCACCAGTTTTTGGACCTTGGGCAATGGTTCTGTTTCCTTGCACTCCAATATCTTCATCTGGAAATACAGGCCACATATACTGTATATGCAACACATATAAGGCATTCTGAGTTCTTCTAAGGATTTTAATCCTATGTAAAGTGAAGGGCTTCCAAGCTTTTTGCAGGGAGTCTCACTATGTGCTGAGGCTAGCCTTGAACTCTCTGCCCTCCTAGTTCAGCTTGAGTGCTGGGGTTGTATAGGGGTGTACCCCTAAGCCTTGTGTGCCTTCTTAAAGCTGCACACAATATTTGTATAATCTCTCCTAAATTTTCTTCCATGACTTTGTCTGTAACCATACTTAGAGTATGTAATGATCACTATTAGTTTAGTCTTCTTTTTAAATTATTTAAAATTTTTCCTTTTTAGATTTATTTACTTGATTTTGTGTGTATGAGTGCTTTGCCTGTGTATATATGTCTGCACCACATGCATGTCTGGTGCCAGCAGAAGTCAGAAGTGGGTGTCGGATCCCTGAGAACTGGAGTTACAGACAGTTGTGAGCCCCCAGGTGGGTGATGGGAATCAAACCTGTATCCTCTTCAAGAGCAGACAAGCCACCTCTCCAGCTCCTAGTCTTCTGCTTTAGCCACTAACCTGTAGGCATCACGGAGGGTCTTGGCCAGT